TCCATTGGCAGGCGTGTTTGTTGTGTAGTTTGCCGAATGCTAGTTTCAGCACTAGGTGACTGTTGCTGTACACGATCCTTTTTCGGCAAATCAAAGCTAGAGGAGGTGACCAGGTTATTACTACTCATTGTTCTGCGCTGACATGGTGTTTTATCCTGAGCTACGGTTATAGACTTATAACTGCTATTCAGTCTTAAGTGATCCTGACATTTAGTAAACTTACTAGCATCAAGAGAATTACTGAATTTAAAAATGATTGGGCAATTAGCCTGGTTAGACTTTTTACGAAGTCGTTTGCATTCACATGGAACACTAGCCATGCCGCAACAAATCAGGATTTTGTGTCTTACAGTTTTCAGGGGCAGAGAATCTGGGACGTTGTAAACTATAGCTTGGTGAGAAGAGGTCATACGCTTCATCACCTCCGTAGCCAAGCAGTCAATCAGATTCTCAGCTTTATTTAGGTTGTCTGGAGATATTTTAGGATGTTGTTTTAACAGACAGGCTAACAGGTCTAAATCCGAAAGCTTGTTTTGAGTTACATCCAGTAAAGACGTAAGCTGGCAAATATCAGACCGGCTCTCCGTGGTATTTGAGATTGGCGGTGACATACTATCAAATTGATCTAGTTTTTTCTGAATTTCACTTACTTGCCTCTGCATATCTTTTAAAAGGAGGTTTAGTTTACAGAACTCAGAGTTCTCTAACAGAACATCTATCACCTGTATCACAGGAGTGAGATCTGCACTCAAACCATTTTGAGAGCTAGTAGCTGATACCGTATTACACGGCGGTAATGCAGTTATAACCGAATTTGAGCCACTACCTAAAACAATTGTGTTTCTACGAACACGTTTTTTAGAGATTTATACCATAATTTCAAGAATTATAAGACAATAAGCAGTAAATAAATTTGAGAGCAAACACGTGCAAAAATGTCACCAATTTCGAACGTACCTCCAAGGATAAAGTGTATAAAGGGTATTCATAATCCAACGGATGGAGAAGTTTTAAAAAGTATAAGGAATATATACTTCTGATGTGATTACTCGTGATATCCTTCTGAGTCCCATAATGGCTTACTACAACCGGGTGTTGTAGAAGCCCCATACACTCACGATCTCTAGTCTACTAAGCGATCATCACTTATTTGAGTTTCTGATCCCGTAATATGTCTAGCATTCCTACAATCAGTTTGTTCGGAATTGTCGAAAAATCATTGGTGTCAGTATATAGTACATGTTGCTTATGCGTCATCATCTCCTTCATTCCTGAGCTGACGGGTCCGTATGAAAACTTCATCTGCTCAGCTGATAAACACGAAAACTAACTTCACACTTTCAGCAAGTGCATTTGTTATCTTAACCTAAGTTATTTTTTGGATGTATGACCCGATACCCCAGCTTAAACTTATTTGACCGACTAGAATTCTCATTCAGCACATGAAGTGAATCCTAGTTCACAGTTCCTAGCAGTTATCTGAGCTCCAGGATGGAAATCGAGCAACTGTATAACCGCAGACATGCTCAACCTAGAAGCAAATAGTCCATTTGCTCCGCCTAAAGCAACGATTCTATGGAAAAAGGTCTCTCGCATCACCGGGGTCTATATGAATTCTCTCGGAATGTAGATTTGGGGGACACTTCGTCCATACATACTCTCCCACGAATGTGTCAAGTCATGGGTCAGCGGAAATCTGGGAACGTATTCTTTAGATTCTGTTTTACCAAATTGCCACCGTCACCTGAGACTTCACAGAGTGGTCATTGATTACATAGCGACTTCGGCTGACATAAACTTTGGAAATATTGAGGCTGCCAGTCACTGAAGTTTGCTCAACACGTGCAGGATCTTTAACTAGTGACAGAGTTATGCAACTCTGTCATGCGACTTCTGGAGTTGCGTAGGTCCAGCACTCCCTCTTAACTGTCGACGCAGCTTTTCTCAATGGAGCGACTCACTGGTTTGCTTGGAATGGAAACTATGTTCTCCTAAGAACCTGTACTAGTGCGGGTTCTCAGCACTTATGGCAAGGAAACTAAGGTGTTACCGAAAAGCCTGCATTAATAGCATGGATGCAAGAACTGTTGGGAGCTTTCTACCTGCGAGAATTAGCGACAACTATAACTGGTGCAGTAGCCACCTTCTCAGTGTCACAGGCACCCCTAGTAAAACGTAGCACTTAGTTGATACTGTTGTTGTCCTCCCTGCCAGAGATAGATCACCGTAAGTAAAACCTTTTAAACTACATGCTGCAAATGAAAAACCTAGTGCAACCTTCAGGGGAAGATGGATCTATCTGAACCTAGTTATAATCGAACCTACTAAGTGGACTTCTCGTTTCGCTAACGTCATATTACCTTTCATAAGTACTGATTTAATTACTTACAATGTTCTACTGGTAGGTGCCCGCCAACGACGGCCGATAAGTGCCACAACTAAGTTATATATCAAGGGAACTGGTTACGTAGGCAGTAAGTTATCACTGGTTAAGAAAACCACAGCCGACCTAACCCTCGTTTTAGTGAAGAACAGTAATTAGAATATCTAGTGTGTGGTGCTGCTGTGGTTTTGGAACTCGACATTGAGTATTAAATCACTAGCTGATAATGACTTCCTCGTTTGTAATGACTTGGCTTGTTTTTCGTTGGTGGATAAACTAGCCACAAAAACAAGTATTGGTTATCCTTAAAATTGTCTGTCTCTTCGTCTTTTAAGAAGTAGTTCAACTAATCACACTCTTGTTAGGGAAAGCATTCACTGCACAATCGCTATTATATACTATTTTTGAGCGACCATAAGGGATGGATACCAAACTTAGAGTTCAGCGGCAACAACCATTCAGATTGGCAACCTTTCACAAGGAGTTTAGTGTGGTGGTTTGGTGAAAATTAAAGTCTAGACACTCAAGAGACGCGAACGTACTGATGACCTCGGTAAGCTTCATAGCGCTGAAAGGTAAATTTGGTTCCCTAGCCAAACTGTGACTTTAACCTAACTTCAACCTAACATTAATCTATGCGTAACCGGACTCTCTACCCCTAACCAAATCTAGTATCTCCCAGCCTAAAACCAGTCAGTTATCCTTTTTTGTATCATTACACCTTATTCAATTGCTTCTTTCGTGAATATAGTGTTATCTACTTGTTTTTACTCCCTTGCTCTAGATGAGCGTACCAAAGTCATATGCGCACCTAATGAGTGTCCAGAGTTTAACTTCGCCCTGATTCGATTTGTTAAATAACTGCACTTATGAGAACACTTATTAGGCCGAATATATTTTTCCGGTAGGAATATAATGTTTCTTGAGTTTTTCAGAGGAAAAACCACTGAAGAACCCATATGCGAAATTCTTTCACTGAAAATTCGGGACAATAATCCAAACTATTATTCAAACCATACGTTGATGCGTGAAACCCAAAAACACAAGATTTTTCTAATGTACGGTATTATATTGAACATAAAAATACTGTATACAAACCTCAATTGTAAGGTGTCTGTGACTGAAGGCCATCAAAAGCACAGTTGATGTGAGTCAATAAGACGAACAGCGAAACTGTATCAAAGGCTGTCAACGACTAGAATCAAACAGAGCGTGAATGTCAGATGGAAGGAAAAGATACGAATGAACAATGTTCAACAGTAACTGATACATTGACAAGGTATATACAGCAGATAATAATCAATTATAAGGAAATTATTACTATATATCAAACAGATTGGTAATGAGTTAAACTTCAGTAGCAAATAAAGTCATGACTAAGAATTAACAAATATAGTCCATACTACTTACCAATGGTAACTACTATAAACCCTTAACACAAAAGAAAGAATAAAAATAACAGATGGGAAAGGAATTAACACCATATATGTCGCTGTACAGGAGCTCGTGGATATACACAGATGTGTTCAGATGAATTAGTTTATCTCCCGAGTTATAGGAGAAGACTGAGCTGTAGGAGAAACAAAAGACTGTCCATCATTCCTGACTGTGGTGGGTTGGATCATGTGGTAGACAGTTGGGAGCGAGGAGACAGGAATACATTCGGTCGACGAGAAGATTCCGGAACGTTTGAACTTCACGAATGATTTATGTCTGATGTCACACGAGGTCGAAGACCTACAGGTGCAGACAGGACTTTAAGTGAACGTGGCGGACACAGAGACGAAGAAGATACCCGACAACCAACTACAACAAATACTAATCACTAAGAACAGAAAATTTGAAGGAGGTTGCCTCTTTCACCTATCTAGGCAGCAGTTTTTCATCTAGAGCGCGCCAAGAATGAGGAAGTAAAAACCGGGATTGGAAAAGAGAAGCAGACTTTTATTATTCTGAAATCCGTATGGAAACCAACTGCGCTAGCGTGAGGAACAAGACAAAGATTTTTTCACAGAAAGTATTTACGACAGGCTACTTTTGTCAGTAGATACCACCTTCATCTCATATTCAAGATCAGATGGTCAGAAAGAATTACCAACATGACCTTCTGGCAATGAGCCAACTAAGAACCTATTGGTCAAAAAATATACCGAAGAAAATAGAGATGGATTGGACACTATTAAACGACATCACGCACCTGATCGTGGAAACCGGGGGAGGGGCGGAAATCGCCGAGTTCGGCGTCCGAAGGTGATATGGTAGAGACCGTATGAGGAGGAAACGACAGCTTACGCGGTCGTGGAGCCAATTATAAATGACTGTAGAGAACATGACGAAATGGAGATGTGATGTTTGAAACTTATGTTCAATTAGGAGCCCAAGGGAATAATAATAATAATAACAACAGTAAAAACAATACATTTAATAAATATATATTAAGAGTATAAAACAAAATGAGTACCAATCACAATGATGATTAATTTACAAGTAGGTTTATACAAATAAGAGCTCTATTATTAAATATGTAAGTTAATTTATTGTACAAGTTATATTATAGAAAATACAAATATCACTAGAGACAAGTGTAAGTTAATAAATACAAATGTTCATCTTTAAATCAAGTTTCCTCATTTACTGTACATAATCTTTCTCGTAGTCTTCTTTGCTGATCTTGTCTATATAATTCTTCCATAAGTTCACTTAAACCGACAGACTGTTTCATAAATCTATGTATATTATTCCAAGATTGTCCAAGACGATGATCTGTGATACGATCTTGTGGAAAGTTGTATGTACGTATCTTTTCAGATCTATCTAAATTCCCCATATGAGATCGACGAATAGATTCAATCATATGAGATTGTAATTTTAACTCATTATTACGAAGTCTATCAAGTGGAATTAAAAAAAAGCACACCAGACGATGAAATAACAAAAACACAAAATAAAAATACGAGGGTTTACAATTTACATTATTTCTGTTCATTTACTGAATAAGTTTCTGAACACAATTTATTTTTTCATTATCATACTACTAATAATTGTAACTACACAACTTTGAAACTTGAGTTTTGTAGTTCACTCTCTTCCTTTCTATTCAACCGACGACACAGGAATGACAAATATACACGGAAAGATGACAACACCAGTTTGAAACATCAGTAGTGCTTCTAAGCAAAGAGGGTACCTGTGAAACTTGACACATAATTCTTAACAAGGCAGAGATAAAAGTGGCATTCAAACCCACAAAATTACACAGTTAAACAAATTGTCATTTAAAGGATACTATGGAGTCCATTAAACAAAATAATTTAGTTTGTTTGATGCCCTAAAATGACTACCAGGTCAAATACATAGGTCAACGTAGAAGGACGGGGTCAGTTAAATTAGCTGAGACTGAAATCTAGATTGTTTGATCGTAATAAGATAAGGAATCTTAAAAATAACCCAGCTACAGCACTACGATAGGGTGGAGAGAGAAACTGGGAACTAAAGCCTTATTTATCGAATCCACCGAAAATAGTGCAACACGAATATCTCAGCAACTGTCCCAGACATCTAGAAAATTAAACTGCTTCTACGAAAAATGGGAATGAATCACGAAAACTATAGAACGGAATTTTCGAATTTGCGTACTTATATTTGATATGGTTATGAATTATAAATTGTGTTTGAAACGTCATCCAGTGAACAATACTGTTCCACCCTGTGATATATATATATATATATATATATATATATATAATACGTAATTCCATACTACCACAGTGCCCAAGTTTTACACATATATAGAGAAAAAGGTTTACAATCCATTTCACATCTAGCAATTATTCAAAGAGGATTTTAATAGCAAATAGAAATTATTAGTCCCCATTTTATAGCTAACAAAATGTGCTTACATCACATCACCATCATCATAACAGAAATTTATACAATAATATCGTTGTCATAATCATACGACTTTAACAGTGATCACATTATTTTTAATAAACAATATGAGTATATCCAGGATTTCATTATGAGCTGATATAGGTTAGAGAACCACTGAAAAACTCGAGAGTACTGGGCAGCTGTTTCATTCTATTTAGGGAGGTAGTTACCTGGGTTCTAGTGAGACGTCGTGACCATTGGAGTACAGAAAGTAAGATGTGAGGACAAATACTCGCCGATGACATTGACTATTGGTCGCGCTATATCGTGAATTCGCGGAAGTTGTTATTTATGGGCAGTTTGTTCAGGTCTCAGGGACTTATGTTCTACGAGCTCCTGGGTTCGAACCCCGGTGGGTGATTACTGACGAAGAGTCCCAAACTAGGACGAAATATACGTCCAGTACTCCCTGTCTTCCAATGGTTCTCTAACCGATGTCAGTTCATGATAAAATCCCGTTTTGGAGGGATTTGACTAATCACAGGATCTCATTATCAGCCGACATCGGTTAGGGAACCATTGGAAAACCTGAGAGTACTGGGAGGCTGTTTCGTACTGGTTCAGAACTCTTCAGAGGTAGGCACCACCGGGGTTCGAATCCAGGCGGTTAAAAATGTAAGGTAAATGGTAAACTTTCCGTAAGACTGAAATCGTTTAATAATGGAAAATTAAAAATTTGGGACAAAAGGCCTCTTCACAGCTAATTGCAGTTGAAGTTGTTTGGAGTTCTAGTAAGTCATAACCGCTAGGGTCCACTCGGTCGGGAGTAAGAACCAATACTCACTGATGATAATGGCTAGTGATCGCGCTAGAATTATGAATTGGTAGAAGTTTGAATACATGGGCCGTTGAATCGGGTCCCAGCGGTTCAATGATCTAGGAGCTTGATTTGTTAACGGAAGACCCCGCTTTCAAACCCAAGTGGGTGCGCGTTGCTGGTGAATCTCGAACTAGGGCGAAACAGTTTTATGGTACTCCACGGTTTTCAATGGTTCTCTAGTTAATATCAATCCTTTATCAAACATGAGATAATTTCAACTGTCTACTCAGTGATTTTTGAGATAGTTGTCTAGAAGTTAGATAACTGGAAGAGACTATTCACTGTATGAAGTCTGATGATAAGACTCAGTCGTGCAGACTGAAGTAGGCGTAGCAAGACTCCAGCCTGAAAGTCAAATGCTAAGGCGAATAAGGCACGTTACCATCTTCTAGGAGGACATGGAACTGTGGTGACAGCCATTATGGATAACTTTTAAAGAAGTTGAATTTCCTGATATAAATCCGAGAACTCTGGGAGGTATGTATTTCCACTGTTCTATATTTTATTTGAGGTGAACATTTTCACTACAACAGTTTTTCACAAAGAAATTAATCAAATAGAATGTTGAAATGCTACATTGAGTTAGAATGAAGACCTTAGTAACGCCAGAATTCAGACATATGAAAAGCCAGTTGTCCAAAACCTACAATAACTCGATTTTTCGCAACAACTTTAACAATGACCCCCATAACACCACACCATACCTGCCTGCCTGCCAGACTAAAATATTTCACTCAATTCAAAAAAAAGCGATATAAATAATTATTGCTGAATATTATAAACTCAACGTATTTTTGTCACCATAATACAGTGAATTTACGACGTAAAGAACTTTAGAAAAAAAGGAAATTACAGAAATTACAAAACACAAAGTGGAAAGTGCAATTCCTTCAACATACTAAACATATAAAAACCGAAAGATCAAAGCAGTTATTGGCATTACTGGACAATTTGTAACCTAATAATAAATAAGCTGCAAAAGGTCTGTACCTATGAGATTCAACGATCCCACCTGCGAGCATCCATAGAAGTTCTTTCTATGATTCTGAAAGAGAAATGACTAATTGAATTCTAGCATAGAACTTTGGACAAAAGTGTAGCAGTTCAAATTTCCACACTTCATACAGCGCAGAACGGTAAACGAAAGAAAAAAAATTTAGATCAGAAATGCGTAAAGAGGGAAGAATAGTAAAAAAGGATTTAATCGATCTGCGAGATTAGAGAGTGAAAGCATTTCCATCACAGAGAACAGTATCGAGCCATATCAACAAACATTCTCAAGTCATTGATTCTTAGAATCCTGGAGCACCCCTACGTGGAGTATAAGTAACTGGTTTCAACGCAGAACTTTGCACCTATGTGCAGCAGTTCGAGTCACCACACCTCATGTAGCACACAAAGCGAGGAGAGAATAAAAAGAGATTCAAAACAGAGATAATAAACAAAGACATGACGTAAAAATATCATTATTATTGTTTATTATTAGTATTTACTGTTATTATTATTGCAAAAACAATTGCAATATGAAAGAACAATATAGTTTCATTGGATATTATAAGTCACAAGAAGTGAATGCATCTGTGCCTCCGGTTTTTACCATCCCGAGGATCCCAACCAAGAAGCCTACACCTTCCTAAATGTTGTGGATTTCATTGACTGATGAAGCCATGTCTTGATTAGACCACCACTGGTTCTTTTTCAACCTGATGCATCCTATCTGTCTGTCTGTCTCTGTCTGTTTTCGACATAGAACTTTGCACAAATGTGCGGAAGTTCAAGTCGCCACATTCCGTGTAGCACGCGAAGCAAGAGAAGAAAGTACAAGAAAAGCATAATAGAAACAGTGAGCAGAGGTGTGAGACAAAGGAGTAATAAAGAAATACAAAACAGTTTCATTGAAGATCATAAGTCACAGGGAGTGGATGCATCTGCGCCACTGAGAACGATTTTGAGCCATGTCACCAATTGTTTCCAACCATAGATTTTTACCGTCCCGAGGACCCCAGCCTGGAAGTCTACACCTTCCTACGTGGCTTAGACCAACTGTTGTGGATTTCATTGACTGATGCCAAGTTTTTGTTTGACCGCCGCTAGCTTTTTTCCAGCCTGACCCTATATCCGCTAACATTGCTCGTCGAGGGAGGCGATGGCTTGGCATACGTAACACATGTCCTAACCATCTCAGTCTTTGTAGCTTCACGACTTCGTCGATTGATTTCCCCTGTTTACCTAGAACTCTACGCCTAACCTCAATGTTGCTCACCTTATTATGCCACTTTACACGGGAAATAGAACGCAGGCACCTATGATCAAAGACAGCTAGTCTTTTCATGTCTTCCACTCTCAGTGGCCAGGTCTCACAACCATAAAGGAGGACGGAGCGGACTGATGAGCAGTACACCCGCCCTTTGGTCGATAGTCGAACATCTCGTCTACGCCAGAGTCGGCGTAAACTAACAAATGCGAAACGAGCCCCTTGTATTCGTGCTGAGATTTCGTCAGAGATCAGCCCGTTGGGCCTGATGGTACTTCCCAAATAAGTGAAGCGGTCAACGTGCTCTACCACTTCACTTCCTATTTTTAAACTAGGCGTCGATGTAGTCCAGTCCTGTAACATCATCTTGCATTTGGCGGGAGCGAATCGCATGCCAAACATTCGTAGATTGCGACTCAAGGTGTTTAGAAGACTCTGCATTTCGTCAGCGTCTTCGCCTAGAAGGACTATATCGTCTGCATATTCCAAGTCAACGAGATTATTCCCCGGTAGCAAGTCAATCCCTGAGTCGCTGAAGTCACCTAGGGTTAAGTCCATTAACACATCTATGATGAAGTTGAATAGAAAAGGAGATAATGGGCATCCTTGACGGACACCACTGGTCGTCATCAGTTCAGATGACAGCTCGCCGTAAGCCCTCACCTGGCTGTATGAGTACGAGTAGAGTGCCTTAATCAGTGCAATATATTTTCTTGGAATTCCCTTTACAGCCAAGCATCTCCAGAGAACTTCCCGATCGACAGAGTCGAATGCTGCCTTTAGGTCAAGAAATATAATGACTGTTGGACGCCGGTAGGAATGCCTATGTTCTAGAATCTGTCGGAGGGTGAAGATATGATCAATACACCCTCTTCCTGGTCTAAAGCCTGCCTGGCTCTCTCGTGTTTGTGCTTCCCGAGCACCACTCAGTCTACGCATGATTATTGAGCCTAAGACTTTAGATACTATATTAGTCAAGCTAATCCCTCTGTGATTATCACAGGAAGACTTGTCTCCCTTCTTGTATATGGGGATAATCAGTGACTTACACCAACCCGATGGGACTTCTTCTGATTCCCAGACGCTGCCTAGTACCTCAGTTAATCCGGACAGTAAGCTGTCTCCACCGTACTTAAATACCTCTGGAGTCATTCCATCAGGTCCCGCTGCTTTGCCTAGTTTCAGATTGGTGACAGCTTTAGTAACCTCAGTTAGTGACGGAGGACCTGTGTTTATATCCCATTCAGGGAGGTGTTGGATGCTCGGAAGGTTGAGCGTGGCTGTGGGCAAATTAAACTGCTCCTCATAATGCTCTTTCCAACGATCCAGTCGTCTATCCTGTGAGCTAATTATAGTGCCATTTTTTTCCGAGATTGTCTCACTAATGATTTGTCTTCTCCCACCCGTTTCCCTGATGAGTCCAAAGAGTTGCCTGGTGTTGCCTATCCTCGAAGCTTTCTCCATCTCTTTGGCTTTTGTCGCCCACCACTGTTCACGGTCCTTGCGGAGACTTTTCGTAAGTTTCCTCTTGTGCAGCTTTCGCTCCTCATTGAATTCGGAGCTCGCCGGAATAAGTCTTCTAGCATCTATCAGTTCGGATGAGGCGGTGGAGATCCAGTGGTTTTTACTCACCTTTGGGTTTACCTTATTCACAGCTTTTACAGCTGTATCTATGGCTGCCTGGATATTTTTCCAAGCTTCTTCAGGGTGAGCACAGCTGTCGAACACAGATATGTGTTTAGCTAGTTCTTCCTCAAATACGGATTTAGTTTCCTGATCGAGCTGGGGACGTGATGGTTTTACCGCCAGCTGTTTCCTACGTCCGTTCAGTCGTAAGCACACCCGAGCGCGGACCAGTGCATGGTCGGTATCTACGCACGTGTTCCAGAAGGAGCGACAATCTCCTACCGACCCACGCCAACGATAGCTTATTGCTATGTGGTCTATTTGTGTCCAGCGTTGGTTTGATGAAGGGGGTCTCCAAGTCAAACAGTGTCTCTCCTTGTGTTTAAAGTTAGTGCTTACAAGAAACAAATGATTATCAGAGCAGAACTGTAGGAGACGGTCACCGTTGTCGGTTCGCTGGCACGGAACTCCATAGGTGCCACCGACATCCTTCTCAGATTGACACAATTTCCCTACTTGAGCGTTAAAGTCACCAGCTAGAACGACTATGTCTGAGCGTTTAGCCTTTCCACCAAACTAGACAGCTTTTGGTAGAACTCATCCTTCGTTTCATCTGAACTGCAGTCAGTGGGGGCGTAGGCGGAGATTACGAAAAGGCATCGGCGAGTAGTGCAGTCCTTCCTCCTTCTTACTGATCCGTTCAGGCGGACAGCACACATTCGGCTATCTACCGGGATCCAGTCAAGCAATGTCTTTTCTGCCCTAGTACTCAAAGCTATCCCTACGCCAGCTAATCCTCGTGAACTAGCTGTGGCATCTCCTGACACCCTCAAGGTGAATTTTGCAGATTCAACCTGTTGGCCAGGTGGGGTTAGGTGAATAACCACACTTGGGTCTTGTATGCGTGTTTCTGAAACACAGCATACATCAATGGCTCGTGATGCCAGGGTCTTGGCTAGTGATGCTTGTTGTCCTATTTGGCAAAGTGTCCTAACATTAAGAGCTCCTATATGAAATTGGTGGCGCGGCTTTAAGAGGCTGTCGGTGGTGGTTTTTTGGCTTCCATCGTTTTTAGTGGACGCAGAGTGGAGAGGAAGTGGAGAGCTATCAAGTCGAGGAGTTGCATCAGTGGAAGGAAGGCAAGATGATAGAGATGAAGATGAAGACAAAGATGAGTGAGTAATAGAGAGGTTTCGTGTGCATTTCGGATTGTGAGGGCGATTGTTACTTCCCGGCTGCCCACACCGTGGAAGTTGGTTGCGTGACCGCAGAGCCCAGGGGACAACTGCTTGAGGCCGGTCACACGCGGCCTGTTTTTGTTCGTTCTTTTTTGTTTGGTGTGTCTCAGTAGCAGATTTATCACTCCTGCCCTGTGACACGGCAGCAGGAAGCGCGGTCGTTGTTAATCCGGGCCACGGCCGATCCGGCATGAAATTTTGTGATTTTGTATTGGACATGATGTTGGATTGGGTAGCTGCTTTTTGTTTAACCGCTATCCAAACAACCTGCCTGGCATGGTAGTACCTCAAGAGACATAAGTCTCAGCCAGTATAGCTTGAATAGATCATTGCGGTGTTCAAGCCCGACCACCACGTCAAGGTAGCAGCTTTCGGTCGGGGATGCATCCTATGTCAGCTAACGTTGCCCGTCGAGGAAGGCGACGGACGTGGCATGTGTGACATATGTCCTAACCATCTAAACTGATATAACTTCATAACGTCATCGATTAGTTTTCCTTCCTTACCTAGCACTCGACGCCTAACCTCAATATTGCCCACCAGATTATACCACTTAACACAGGAGATAGATCGCAGATGCAGCTAGCCTTTTCATGTCTTCTATTTTCAATGGCCAGGTCCAAGAGCCATTGAGGAGGACGGAGAGGACTATGTGGAGTAAAAAATCTATAGGCACCTATTGACGCAGTATCTTTCGTAAACTTGACAATAAAAAAATGCAGTAAAGAAACCAAAGTAAAAACCGATAATTTTGTGAATCCACTTTACTGGAAAAGTAGAGGACTGGAGAGAAGCCATACAAAAAGTTTCACACCTTTCTATATCCATTCTTATTATTCGCAAATCCCTGTTCTTGTCCCCTCCAAATGCATAAAGACTAAGATATGTAAGATGAATTGATTTCCTTTGTGTTTCTAATGCTAGAGCAGTTGTTTATTTATGAATATGAAATATGTACAATACACCTATTGTACGACTAAAATCACTTTGAACTTCTAATATTTATTAACATATCACTTCTGCGAAGTATAAATAAGAAAACCCACTGTGTTATTCTTCCTAAAGATATAGGCATCCTCCTACACATGTGGTGATAGCTGGCTATTAGTCAAAATTGGACAGTAATTTACGTCAATGTTTATGTCCCCAATATTGGTCGTGAGAAAAATGAAAACAAAGGCTATGCGTAGGTGGATACATTTAGCATATAGATGATCTGACATTCAAGAACCAACACATTTAAGGAAACAATATTGTTTTCAATTAGATCTCATCAGACTTAACTCTAATATATATAAGTTTACAAATAAAATTCAAATATAAACCAATCATGGTGTTTTGTCTATAGGATAATACGATGGTGAATATAAATTGTGCAGTTAGTCGTAATAGTGGTAATGATAATATTAATAATAGTAATAATAATAATAATAATGGTCTTATCAATAATAAGGATGAAAAATGAGGCAATCTGTAATAACACAAATAATGAAAAACAGTATGATTAAACAAACAATTGTTCAGGTGGAAGTAGTCGATAAAGGCTAGTAAAAACAAATGAACCGATTACGTAATGTTAGATTGTAGGGAAAGGAAATGAAACACGATTATAATGAATATAAGATAAGATTAAGGGATGATAAGAAAGGGGTTGGAAATATAAGTAAGGGGTGGTGTAGAAGTCTTTCGTTGGTTATGTCTTATTAGGCCACGGGAGGGATAATGGCTGCACGAACTTCTTTTGGATGCATAGTTTAGGTTTAATAGTTCGAATGCCTATCGCCTCAGCTGTATGCAGTAGACGAATACGAAGTCAATTAGAAAGATTCGGAGGGATACGATGAATTACTTTGAAGGGTTTCGTTTAATCGACTACATGACCACTATCAATTAGATGTGACAGAATTGAGCTATGGATTGTTTTTGTCTGTCCTTCGCCAAACCACGGTGGGAGATGTTCACTAACACGTTGGCTAAGCTGTCTAGTAGTACGCCCAATATAACTGTCACCGCAGGTGCAGTTGAATTGATAAATACACATAGATGTGGCAAAACTATCAAGCTTATCCTTCGTTTGCGTCCCAATCATTCGTCGGCTAGAGAATGACAAACATAGGTGTGTTGCGTAAAATGTTCTACGTATACTCCTTGAAAGTCTTTGGAATAGAATCTCACTAGATAAGTCCCCATTAAATTGTAACTTAATAAATAGAGGTTTCTTATGTGCAGTCAGAGTCACAGGTTTCTTCTCTGATGGTTTCATATGTTTCTTTATGAAACTACTCGGATAACCCATCTCCGTCAAGGAATCGTGAATATATTCAAATTCCTTTTGTAAGAGGTCCTCCGTACATATCTTCCTTGCTCTGCTCGCGAGACATTTTACAAGATTCCTTTTATATTTAATGGGCACGTAACTATTAATATTAATATTATCATCACCACTATTACGACTAACTGCACAATTTATATTCACCATCGTATTATCCTATAGACAAAACACCATGATTGGTTTATATTTGAATTTTTATTTGTAAACTTATATATATTAGAGTTAAGCCTGATGAGATCTAATTGAAAACAATATTGTTCCCTTAAATGTGTTGTTCTAAATTTTACTATGGGAATATTTAATATATTCAAGAAACAGCCACAAAGAGACACAAGGTTAACTTTCTGTGAGAAATAACCCAATCAGAAGACTGTGCTTCTCTGCTAACAATAATCTATAATATTTACATGAAAATCTATAAATATGTGTTGATTTCTTTAATAAACGATCTGTTGTCTGACCCTTGTCTTCTGTTGTTACACTATTACTTCATCTGTTTCAGTCTCCCAAACCAAGTTGGTAACATAAACCCTTAAGTATAAGGTGTGATACTCATATCTAGCTAATATGTAAACTTATACTGGAACCCATATACAATAAAGTAGGCTTTTTAAATTTATTAAAATATATGAATGCATTAGTTAGTCTGCAGCATAACAAAATTTTACTCAACTAACCTTTCTTTAAGCATTTCTAAAGCAAGCATTTTATTTGTATGTTGATGTCGTTCACGCTGACAAGAAATAACAATCCCAGTCGGTAAATGTGTTAAACGAACAGCACTAAGTGATTTGTTTAAATTCTGACCACCAGGACCTGTTGGTCGATGAAATTCCCATTTCACATCGGAATCAGAGATATCAACCTCAACCTTTCATCAAAAGGAAGAAAGAAAGAAACAAAGAAGAATAACATAACCAATAGGAAAAATAAACAATGTTAAGTTTGGCAAGATGCTAATGGGATACAATGAATGGCTTGACAATAAACAAGAAGATCCAGAATGACGACAGGTGACTATATAACTGAAAGTTAGTGAATCTGGAGACATACATGATGAATCCTCTCTGGTAAATAGATTCGTGATATCCAGGGGAATAAATCTTCAAATCAAATTCATCACAAACAACCGGCGACAACATCAGCGAAGTAATAACACAGCGCCTGAAGAATGCAATTAAAAGAGCTGATTATGCAGTAGAGGTACGTTGTCTCTTCCTAACCGCCCCTATCCTACGTTCGAGAAATAAGGATAAACTACCTAAATTTGCCACTTCTATGTGTATCTATCAGTTTGACTGCAGCCGGTTCATCATCGTATTTCCGAACACCACCCTACATAGTTAAGCAAGAGACAAACAAGATCTATTTGTGGCTCTATTTTAGCGCACCTTGTAGATAGTGAGCATAAGGTTGACGTTAACATTGCAATTAAAATTATTTGTCGCATTCCTACTAATCTTAATTTTGCTCTACGAGTTCGTCTTCTACACGCAGCTGAAGCGATAGGCATCGACTGAAGAAGCCAAACCTGTGTGTTCAAAGAAATTTGTACAGCCACTTTCCTTATCTTGCCCATCGTTACATGAATGTATAAACCGAACTACTTCACCCCCTCCCCCTAAACCTTTAAAATTATAAAAATTATAATTTCCAAATTATTTTATTTTTTCTGACCACTTCATCTTTAATTACGTGTTATCCTTGTAAAAATTAATTTATTCTAACCATTTCTACCTTTTAAATGTGTATTGATTTTCTTCATTAACTATCACCCATTGATATTTGACACCGACCAATTATTGCTAACAAACATATCAGTGCCACTTGATTGGTAAACTATTGTGTATTGTAATAAAAATGCTATGCGTATATATTAGAGTAGAGCCAGAGTGAGATGAGGATCTAATTGAAAAGTAAATATTTCTTCGCTTAATCTTTCAGCTTTCTAAATATCTAAATGGGGATTTTTTTTCTCTATAAACTCATAAGATGAAACTAAATGGGTAGACTCAATCTATGGGAAAATACATCACTACAAGTGATTTAACAAAACAACTATATCATTCAGAGTTCATCAATTCCACATTTAAGACAGACATTAATGAAGACAAAAGACGTAGTTCAACGAAGAGTCTCTTTTCGTCAGCTAACTCATTCACTTAGCTGTACAATCGCAATTATATATAATTATTTCCCTTTGTATGTGTGTGTGTGTACATTAGGTTTGTCTGCTTTGAATAAAAATAAGTTAGTTATAAGTTTCCAGACTGCAGATGTTACGAACTTCCTGGAACAATTTAAGTGCCGAGTCAGATTGATTCATTATAAATTTAAATTAATCCCAGCGTATTTAAGAAAAAATAAAAACAAGATTTTTCTGAGCGTTTCGCTGTGTAAGCCACAGATTCTTTAGGAGATTTATTCGGATTTCACCAATCATGATTAATAAATTTAAATAATTTATAAAAAATAAGTTGGGGTTATTGTTTTCAGGACATTTCAAAAATGTGATGAGTAATCAAACTGTAACTAGGAGGGAGAGGCAGAGTTTGATAGGAGGGTAGTGGTGATGTGTTGTCAGAACACAGAGTTATTATCAGAGCATATTCCTAAATGTCTTCTACTTTTTATTCTTATCGGACAAATCGTATATACACACACAACAAAAATAAGCACCATATACTTGCGACTTGTGAGTGACTTAGCCGGCGAAAAAAGACTCTTCGCTGAACCACGCGTTTTGTTTTCATAATAAAATTCGGCAACATAACGCCAGATAAATAAATAACCAAGTGACCAAGTAAAAACTATATAAATAAATTCTCATTATCAAATTTTGATGCTCCACTAAAGATGTTAACTAGAAACTCAATGAAAACCCTAATCACAGTAATGAACTTCAGAAACGAGAACAATATATAATGGCATGAATAATATAATTTCTTGTCAATATACCAATAATTCACAACGTAATTTACAACCTATTAAAGGCACTGGAAATCGGCATTTGTTTAGCGTTATTCACTAAAACTAGAACGAACTCGAAATGTCATACAGATATAGAATAGACACTCTATTTGAGTCCCACAACATGACGGTAATTGATAGATGAAGACCAAGGGAGATATGGAAGATAGTTAACGGTGGCAGAATCGTGTGTGTATTTAGGCTTTTCCACTCAATGAAAATACTGGCAAAATTGAATTATCATAGTGAAAATCACAATGGTCTTGAACAACCAATCAGAATTTAAATACAAATAAGTTGCATAATCGTTTAAAAAATGTATTGAAAAACATTGTGGAACATGATACTGCACTGGATAATTGTCTCTTATGTGATGTAAGAATATCTCCCAGTTACTCCAGGGATAATACATAGAGAAATCATACCATACGCGAGAGATGTATTAATTCAGACAACTTGTAGATCCTTGGGATCCCTTAATACTCCTGACTATGTTATATTACTTAACTCTAACCTTAACCGTAACACTAAACCTTAACAGAAAAAAGTAATCTAGGGAATGAGTAGAATACTCTGTACCTACCGTCACGAACGGAGTTTCTCATGATCTGATTTGGGATAACCGATCGAACTGATTCTAAATCTGATCGCTTCTTGAAGATCGACTGTTGACATACCTGGACTTTCGCTATGATGCTTTGGTAGAAGTTAGAATTCGAGGGTTGGTCATTGATTTTGGTTCCAGTAGCTGAACGGTCTACGAGCTTGTCTTGCAACCGGAAGGTCCTTAGTTCGAGACTTGACGGGTGTGTTCTGCCGATGAGTCCCACATTAGGACAAAGCAGCTGTCCAGTACTCCCTGGTCAAACTTGAAATACTTTAACTTCGCCAAAATAGTTTCCAGTAATGTCAGATAGATAATACATAAATCTTTAAGTTATATTTCATTTAGTATAAATTTTAAGTTAGCTAAGGGCCAAATAGTATAAAAAAGAAAACATTTGGAACGTCTTCACAGTCAATGATTTACTAACATTAATTTCTTTTATAAGTACAACTAATTGATCACCTGTTGTCAGAACGAGTTAATGCAAAGTTTTGAGATAATGTCCAACTGTTTCAGTTGGAGACTGTTTTACGATAAATTCTAATGAATATTATCTTTCAATTTATGGGAAAAATAATTGACATAATCAATAAGTCAATAAAGTTTCAATTCAATCATAACACTTACATCGTTATATTTCGGCTGGATAGATACAGCTACAGTACTAGTATGAATTTTATTCTGACTACTAGTTACAGGTACACGTTGAACTCGATGAACACCAGCCTCCCATTTCAATTGTCCATAAGCACCAAGTGAAAGTATACCAGAATCTGCGGTTGGATTACCTTCAATTTCAATACGAATATAGGCAAGTGATTTTTCACTATGTGATGGACTACACTCTTCAGTTGACATTACAGTCTCTTGAAGTACTGAAAAAGACCAGTTTCGTTGTATGGCAAGAGATTGATACATATTCGACAAGTCATTGGCGAATAATCCAGCTTCTTTACCACCAGCTCCAGCGAATAATTCCATGACAACAGTTGACTCTAAGTCACGTTCATTCACGGGGACTAGTAGATTGAGGAGCTGTAAAGTTTAAGGAAAACAGTTTACTAAGTCAAATCATACATCAGTCAATAATTACTAATTATTTAAGGAGTAGCTTGGGCATCAAAAAATCGTATAACAGTCCCATACAACGACATTCTTCTGTCCTATTCATTTGGTGTATCATGTTAAATTACTGTTAATGCGAAATATGTCACTTTTTAAGAATTAGTTTATAGAGATTTGGTTTTTTACAAGTTTGCCCACAGATTGATTACATTTGGAGAAGGACTGAAAACCAGGGAGTAATAGACAGTTGTATCGTCCTAGTCAATGACCTTGGCTACAGGACGAAGTTGCCTGGAGTTCTCATGAGAAGTCGTGGTCAGTGGGGTTCACTCAGTCGAGAGTGAATGAGGACAAATACCAGCCAATGACACTGGCTGGTGATCAAACTAAAACCACGAAATGGCAGAAGTTAGAATTCATGGACCATTGAGTCATTTCCCAATGACTGAAGGGTCTATGAGCTCGCCTTGTAATCCAGTAGCTGAGTGCTGATGATAAGTTCCAAATTAGGATGGAACAGCTGTCCAGTACTCTTTGGTTTTCAGCGGTTCTCTACCTGATATCAATCTAGTTGTCACTTCTGTTGAAGGGCTTCTCAAAATCACTAGAGGAATTCCTCAATAAAGAATAACAGATACATAACTAAGTGTAGTTTCATATCAGAAAGATATCCTAAACAAATTTAGATCATAAATAAATTAATTATTCCACAGATATTTATCAAAACAAATATTTGTGAGGTGATTAATCAACAGAATACAGATATTCGAATTCAGCTAGACACTATACAATTGTATCATGCTCGCTAAAGAATTTTTCCAAAGTAAATTGGGACAGGGAGTAAAAACTGGAAGTTCTTCTTGAATTTCAGAAATTTCCAGAAACGCATTTGTAGCGACAGAAGACAAGGGACAGGCAACAGATCGTTTATTGACAGAATCAACAAATGGAGGATTTCATCATGAGCTGACATCAGTTAGAGAACCACTGAAAAACCCGGGAGTACTGGACAGCTGTTTCGTCCTAGTTTGGGACTCTTTGGACAGTACTCACTCACCGGGGTTCGAACCCAGGACCTTCTGGTTACAAGATAAGCTTGTAGACCATTGAGCCACTGGGATCGGACCTAATGGTCCTTGAATTCTAACTTCTGCGTACGACTTAAGAGTCCAAAACTAGGAAAAAACAGCTGTCCAGTACTCGCAGGTTTTCCAGTGGTTCTCTAACTGATGTCAGCTCATGCTGAAATCCTCCATGCAATCAAACAAAATCCCTACTAAACCAATACTTGAAAAAAAGAATCAACAAATATTTATAAATTTTGATGTACATTATTATTCGTTATTGTTAGCAGAGAAGCAACGTCTTCTGATGGGTTGTTTCTCTACTGAAGGTTATTCTGTCACCTCTTTGCTGCCGTTTCTTAGACAGTCCGTTGACGTATCTACTAACCGTATCCGCCCACGCTAAATCTGCTATAATTGGTCGTCAAGTAAGTCTTTGTTCTTGTTATTTTCTCATGACCATGATATGGGCGTCAACATTTATGGGCTTAATGGTCTACGAGCTCGCCTTGTAATCAGAAGGTCCTGGGTTCGAACCCCGTTGGGTGCGTGCCGATGAAGAGTCTCAAACTAGGACGAAACAGCTGTCCAGTACTCCCAGGTTTTCTAGTGGTTCTCTAACCAATGTCAGCCCATGATGAAATCCTGTAACCAATTAACGTAAATTGCTTCCTAACACTTTTGGCTAGCAGACAGCTCTCATCATATATTCACTACTTTTCTGAGAAGCACGATGACCTGGTTAAATACATAGTTTTCAGAAATTAACCACGACACTGGTAGCAGCAGGAGATTTGTATGTCAGCTAGTTGGAAGCACTTACTGTGTAAAAATGATACGAAATATAACAGGAAATGCTTTTTACTACTTGACGCTGTTTACTACTGATTGACTGAACACCACACACATTAAACAGTAGTGGTTACTAGCCAGGTCGAAGTAATCTAAGCCTTGAAGGGCCGTTCCAATCGTTCGGCGTCGAGCCAGCCATAATTCGAGCGCATTGAACTGATTTAGCTCTCTGACTGTGTCAAACCGGTTACACCACTTATGAAGTTGGCCCCAAACGAGAGGATCAGACTTTCCAGTGCTGAGATCAATTCGATATGGATGGCAAGCACTACTGCTTGATTTGAGTGATGTCTAACTACTGATGTTAATCAATAAATAGTGGATATCATCATGTGTAGGCATGTTTGTTTTCTTGATTTTCATTTATGGTATCATGCATATCCACACATTCTGATGTGAACAATTTCGATCTCCGAAGGAGACTGTGGTAAAATTTCATCTCCCCAAATTGTGTAACCTGCAAACCGCGACTTAGATTTAACCTCTTAGTAATTGCTTACAAAGCGTAATTCACTAATACTTGATGCTTATTTTATCAAGATAGTAACAATAGGTTCACCGCTTTCTCAGTTTAGATGAATTCTTTTCTTCAAACAACTATTAAAAAAAAAGAATAATCCACAGAATACCACACACCTTCCCCCAGCGAACTTCAGCCAGAGAAATACCATTTGAGTGTGTTCCAGATCGACGTATAATTACTCTGATTTTTGTTAGCAGAAAACTGAAGACAAAGTGTCCAACGTCCTACTATCAAAACATCTCTGGGAATATCTTTTTACTTTTAGTCTCACAAGATTATAATCGCTCCTAAAATATCTAAGTTCACTCAGAATTATACACAGAATCATGATGGTCACAAAGATATGTAGGTATGTGCATCTTCAAAACAAACTAAAAATAATAAAAGTGGTTGGTTGTGTGCACTTTTTCCTATAGTTTTCGAAATAGAAATATTTCCCAGCAGTACTCATTTAGAGAACGAACGTGCCCGTTAAATACACTAATCGAACTTGGCTTTCTATGGAATATTTACATAGAACACCTCAAACTAATCAGAAAATGTTTTCGCAGAACTAGACTCATATGATGAGTGCGAGTTTGAGCTGATATATATATATATATATATATATATATATATATATATATATGAGTTTAAAGTGTTGGAAAATAAGTTTAATCACTTTATTCAATGGGTGATGGCTAGCAGTCGAATCCACAACATGTATTTCGTTCTTTTGGAAATTCACTGGCCAGATGTACCTATATCTTTGTGAATTGTGCCGATCCAACTGTGACTCAAATTCGGTATATGGTTTTTCGAAAATCAAAGAGTTGGGCTCATGGGTCAGGTTATATATGTCCAAACCAAGTTCACTATTAACAGTTTGAAGAAATTCGGGCATTGGGGATATGACATTCATTATAATAAAGGTTTTTGTATTTCTCAATGAATTAAAAACAAAACGATATTGTTTTTACTGACGTTTCGCTGTTTAATGCTAATAGCTCTATCGAAGTATTATTAAACCAGAATTTACAAAATCTCAGCTTATATATAAAAACTTAATAATCGTTCCTCAGTATGGGGCCATTTTTGCGTTGTCAACTTGGCCAATTGGTGAAGATAACAAAATCAGATGTAGACTGTTGGATCTGGTAAGTGTGTAAAATTATAAAAGCAGTGTGTATTTACATAAGGAAGTTGCTCATCTCATTCGTGTTGATTTTGTCATTTCATGGGGGAGGGAGGTGTTGTAACCAGGTCAAATTTGTTTTAGTCCATCATTCCTATTCAGCTCTGACAATTTGGATTCCATTTGATATGAAGTGCTTCTGATGATATTAGACGTTCTTTTTGATTTCTCAAATGCTTTTCTTGGATTATTTCAATAGATTTTGTGGCCTGATTCTATAGCTTGTAGATCTAGGGATGATGATTTTTCCAGCTTTTCTAGTTCAACTGGATTTCTCGGTGGTCGAACGGATGCTCTACGGTGTTCATTTCTTCTGATTTTGATTTCTCTCTGGTGATGATTTTACGATGTATGTCGCATCACATTCCAAGCATTTTATTTAATAGACACAATTAGACAGAGAATCTTTTAGGATTTGGTCTTTTTATGTGGACAAAGTTGCTTCGAAGTGTGTCTGATGTTTTGAAGAAAACTCTGATGTCGAGCTTACTGAGTACACTTTTGATATCGTCTGACATCCCTGCTCTATGTGGAATGACAACTGTTGAGGTCCATGTTTTCGGAATACGTTTTTCAACAATCTACACCTGATTTTCTTATCTTTATTAATTGGTCAATTCGACAACGCAAAAATGACCCCATACTGAGGAACAATGATCAAGTTGTTATATATATGCTGAGACCTTGTAAATTCTGGTTTAATAATACTTTGATAAAGCTAAAAGCATCATTAGATAGCGAAACGTCAGTAAAAACAATATTGTTTTGTTTTTCACTCATTGGGAAATACAAAAAGAACTTTGTTATAATGAGTCACGTGTGCAAAGATATCATCTGTTATTTTACCGAAATCTACGGATTTCCCATCAGATTCGACTTTTACTGGGAACACTTCCACTAGTATGTGGTTCTAACCAACGTAGGTAATATGAAGTCAAAATCAAAGTCACCACCGAGGTATCAGATAGATGTACAAGACAATTTGACAAAATATATTGATTATTTCAGACCAATAAAATAAACAATAGAGGATTTATTTCCGATACAACAGTTTTTGTGTTCAACTTGTACGCTGAAAATCGGTAGCTAGGATAGCACACACGGTCGCATAATAGTTGAGTTGACATACGTCCTTTGGAAACGTCAGGTAATGATATAATATATGTATATATATACAAAATCAAAAGAAAAGAGTTACGCAAACTATTATAGTACCTTTTTTTCTAACGCCAGACGCTGGCAATTACGTTGTTCTCGTTCCAAGTCGGCAATAGCCTTCAGATCAGTTAAATCCTCTTGAGTATCAGAGCCGACAATGTCTAATTATCATTATTTGGATTTTTTAAAAAGCAATTGAAACAAATGAAATGACACTATCACAACAGGTGAATGTTAACATATGGATAAGAATTTAATTAAATTTTAGATTTTTCTGCCGATTGACTGGACCAAAGTGCTCGGTCTCAGGTTGACATGTCGGCTTCGACAAATGTCTGGGCATCTAATAAGAAGTTAATTGGTGGGAGGTAACTAGCAGTGGAATCCAGATGACGCGTCACAAATAGGACGAAATGCGAATCCTGGATTCCACTGTTAGTTACCATCCACCAATTAAGATGGATAAGAAATTCAAAAATCAGTTACACGTACTATGTCACAGAAATGAACAGTTATTCAGCCATTCTGTTGACATGTTTCAATAAAAAAAAATCACAGATATTGGTTATATAACAATTTATTCAGTGTTTTGACTTTTTCAGTTGACTTTCAACCTTGGTATTAGATGGTTGAAGGCAATCGGCCACAGGAAGCCTTGCCTGACCTAGTTTCGTGCTAGTTGGCATTCATTAGCAAGGCGTATCTGCAACTGCCTTGAAGGAACTCATGTCTCTTCGGAGATTCGAACCCGTGTCACCCAGTGCTGCAGTCAGAGACGTTACCACTGAGCTATTCAACTGACTTTAACCTTTTTTTTATCATTGAGAAGTATGAATTCAGAAAATGCATTATCAGGTTACCTTTTGCACTTTTCCTACAGATATCATTTATGATATATGGAAAAGATATCAAGATGGACTGAATAACTTTTGTGAATTTATAATTTGAAAAAGAAATAAGCAAATTTAGACGATAGACTAGTATCACAAGAGTTCAAATTACACCACAACTGTATAAACTGAATAAATAAGTAAGTTATTTTTAAGCAGTGCACTCTATCTAAGCTTTTATATACCTGTGAGTAGTAATCCCTGACATCTAGTATTAACGCGTAAAACTAAACAGTATTCTGACGATCGATAACACAATAAATTAGTTTTACATGATCATTTGAGATATAGGTTTGAATCAACCTCAATTCTTAGCGAAGCAGGAATAAAAGTGTCATTCAAACATACAGACCCACACAGAAACAAACTGTGTTAGGAGTTAAGGGATCCTATGGAGCTCAATAAACAAAACAATTTAGCTTATCTAATAGCCTGAAATGACTGTCAGATCAAGCGTAAAGTTCATAGTAGTAGGACGGGGTCAATTAGACGAAAACCTAGCAAATTTTAGATTAGTTGACTTTAATAGGATTGTTAAATAAAATGGCTCAACTATAACGCTACTTGCAGTTAAACAATCATACAATGGGATGGGATAAGATGATAATGTGAGAATCTAATATACCAATTCATGATTTAGCGCGACACGAACTGGTAGGAGTTAGAATTCATGAGCCATTGAATCAGGTCCCAGTGGCTGAATGGTATACGAGCTTGCCTTGTAACCGGAAGGCCCAAGGTTCGAACCCTGACAGTGGGTACGTACTGCCGATTATTCCCAAACTAGGATGAAACAGCTGTCCAGTACTCAAGTGCTGGTTTTCAAAGGTTCTCTAACTGATATCAATCCGTGATCAACTCATAAAAAGAAAAAGGTTTATTTATCGAACCAACTGAAAACAGTACAATGGGAATGATTCAACACCCATCTCAGACATCTGGAAAATTCAACTACTTCTACAACGAATGAGAAGGAATACACAGAACAATGAAACTCAAGTCTCAAAGTTGTGTAGTTATAACTGATATGATTATGAATAATAAATTGTGTTCAGAACGTCGTCCATTAAATAACACTGTCTGACTGTGTGATCCACTCAGTAAATAAATTAATATGGAACCATATACTACTACAGTGCCCAAAATTTCTTATATACATGAGCCCTGAACCGCACTTAATTCCTTTCATACTTTTACTAAATATATGAAGTGGAGAAGAAAAATCAGGTGATTATTTACAAGAAACATTGTCAGAGGTAATTTTAAGTTGGTACAGTAACAATTACGTCACGCGTGATGATTAAAGATACAATGATGACCTGAGTTACTGTAGGATACCAACCATCGGTTTCCACACTAGCGTTCACATTTCATTTAACATTTAATTGCTTTTCATTATATAAATATCAGTCTATAACCTTGAACAAACTTTAGACGAACGCGACTATTGTCTTATTATGTATTATTTATAGGTTACTGTTTGTACCATACTGACTATCAGCATTAGAGACCAATGAGTGGAAAAATTAATTTAGACAAAGGTCATCATTTCATATTACTTCACCTAGTTGTGGTAATATCATTCAGATAGTTTTTCGAAGTCTACAGAAGTGGAAATAAATCATATCTGAAACATTTGTGAAATAAACTGAACTCAACTTTTCATATCTGTCTGTCTGGATTCAACATAGAACTTGGCACAGAATTGCACCAGTTCGAGTTGCCACGTTCCAAATAGCACACAAAGGTAGACAAGATAAGTGAAGAGAATCAATAGAGTTTCACAAGTATGAGTGAAACAGAATGGGTAATGGTAAAAAGGAATATGAAAGTTTACAGAGACTCAATACATCTGCGCCAATGACAACGATTTTGAGCCATGTCACCTATTGTCTCCAGCCATTGATTCTTAGAGTCCCGAGAGCCCCAACGCGGAAGTCTGGATCTTTCTACCTGACTCAGTTTAACTGTCAAGGATTTCATGGATTGATACCATGTTTTTGTTTGGCCACCACTTACTCTTTTCCAACCTGCACCTATATCAGCTAGTAATGCCCATCGGGGGAGGCGATGGTTAGGCATGCGCAGCACGTGACCTAGCCATCTCAATCTATGTAACTTTATAGCCTCGTCGACTGATTTTCCCTCTTTGCCCAACACTCTACGCCTAACGTCAACATTACTTACCTTATTATACCACCTAACGTGAGAAAGAGATCACAGACATCCATGATCAAAAACAGTCAACCCTTTCATGTCTTCAACTCGTATTGACCATGTTTCAGAGCCATAGAGAAGGACGGAGCGAACTGCTGAGCAGTACACACGTCCCTTGGTTGATAGCCGGATGTCACGCCAGAGATGGTGTAAGTCAGCGAAAGCAGCTCGAGCTTTTCGGATCCGTGCTGAGATTTCATCGCCAATCAGTCCGTTGGTGCTGATACAACTTTCCAAATAGGTGAACTGGTCAACATGTTCTATCACTTCACTTCCTATCACTAAGCTAGGAGTAGACTTCCAGGCTGGGGTCCTCGGGACGGTAAAAATCTATGGTTGGAAACAATTGGTGACATGGCTCAAAATCGTTCTCAGTGGCGTAGATGCATCCACTCCCTGTGACTTATGATCTTCAATGAAACTGTTTTGTATTTCTTTATTACTCCTTTGTCTCACACCTCTGCTCACTGTTTCTATTATGCTTTCTTGTACTTTCTTCTCTTGCTTCGCGTGCTACACGGAATGTGGCGACTTGAACTGGTGCACATTTGTGCAAAGTTCTTTGTCGAAAACAGACAGACAGACAGAAGCTAGGAGTTGACGTAGTCCAGTCCTGTAGCAGCATCTTACATTTTACAGGGGCGAATCGCATGCCAAACATACGAAGATTGCTGCTCAAGGTGTTCAGAAGACTCTGCATTTTGTCAGCATCTTCCCCTAACAGGACTATGTCATCTGAATATTCTAAGTCCATAAAACTATTCCCTGGTAACAAGTCGATTCCTAAGTCGTTACGTTCAGTTAAGGATACTTCCATTAGCATATCTATGATGAAGTTAAACAGAAATGGGGAAAGTGGAGATCCCTGCCGGACACCACTGGTTGTTATCAATTCAGATGACAATTCCCCATAAGCCTTTACACGGCTACGTGAGTTTGAATAGAGTGCCTTGATTAGTGCAATGTACTTTCTTGGCACTCCCTTCACGGTCAAACATTGCCGTAGTACCTTTCTATCCACGGAGTCGAAGGCCGCCTCCAAGTCAAGAAATATGGCAATTAATTAATTAAGTATTAATGAACTTAAAAAGTACGTTACCTGTAACAAGTTTTTCAATTTCATTGTCAGCTTCAAGAAGAACATCTAACTCTTCTATTATATCCACTATTGGTCTTAATTCTTTCCAATGCTCCGATAACGATACCCTGTATAGTTTTATTTAAGAAAATTGACAACATCGGTATTCACAAATGTTCACAACAGAAAAGCAATAAAACAAATTGCAAGACATACCGCACGAAAAATGAGAAATCCGTCAGAAGCATAATGATTTCTCTTATATTTTTAGCCCCTGAGAATCCAAGTTGAACATCCTAGTGACGATAAGCAACAGTTGTTCGGGCTTAAGGATTTCTTATGGAGAGTAACAGACTGAACAGACACGATTTAGGCTTCCCTTACACAAGTCTGTGTAGAATGTAACAGGATTTCAGAGGAGAGACAGTTACACTGTAATGTATAAATTCTCAGATTGATTCACACAAACGATTTTGTAATAAAAGCAATTTTGAGGGTTTTTTCAGTTATCTACCAGCAATTTCACTTTTAATAGCTGCGAAAGCTTATAAGAAACCTAACACAACAGAAAGCACACGTGATAATCCATGAAAACTTACCTAAAAACAGACAATATTACAGTAGTTAGGTGAGAAACAACATGTGAACTATCACTTTCTCAATAGACATTTAATGTTTTGTATTGTGTATTTTCTTCTGGGAAAAGGAGAGGCAGTGCTGTGAAGCATTCCATCCACTGTACTAAATCCACGTGAGAGTCTACAAGAACACTATACATTGTACTTAGGGTTAATTTTGCCTGCAGTATTCCGAATCGTCACAGCTGATGCTCAATATAAGGTCTACGCCTAACTATATTCAAAATACAGCTAGATGACTTGTCTTAAAACTTAGTTTCGGAAATGCAAAAATGTTACATTAATACAACAGCAGGAGATACGGAGTGATTACCCTTCAGAAAGAGATGGGAAAGTGCCAAATACTACTAACGTATGAAATGAAATAGTGAATCTGAGTCACGTCTACGCATACATAAAACAGTGCGCTAAAAAAATGCATTCATTCACACAAGTGTAACTGGCAAGTCACACTGCAGTCTAATTTAGATGCAGTTAACAGGAAGGTGGCATCTGATTGGTAGGCAGATATTCTAGTTACCTGTCCTAATTACCTCTTTAATTTGGTTGGTTATTCATCTGTAAAATATTAAAAGTCTACTAGTACTTCAAAGTTACCTTAAATTACCATTATCTAAATGTTCACATTTGCTGATTCTGTGCAAGCAATCTCTTACATAAAAACCAACTACAAAATACGCATATATGTATATATATATATATATCAAAGTTTTCATGAATCCATTAATTTCGACAATACCTAATGAAATGCTTAAGCTTTCGCTGGAAGTACAAGATTATTGATCTTTCGACAGTTACAGTCCTACTGAATGTGATAAAAATCAAGCTACTCAACTTGTATCTCAGCAAAAACGGCGATAGTTATCTATGGTGAGCCTAAAATTCCGAAATAGCTGTATTCTGGACTACTAATCTTGGTCGAATTTCCATTGCGTCTTATCTTATGTGGCTAAAACAAATTTTTCAGTTTGTCTTAATTTAAACAGATATACCGTAGCAAAATTCTCTGATCATTTAAACCACATATGTATCAGAACACAGCAGTCAATTACAATCCTTATGGCCAGTTCTAAGGAAAACTCTTAAAATCAGAAGTATTACCAAGTGAATAATTGTTTCAGTTTTACATGCATCAAATACTAAGCAGACATATATGTCTACAGAGTAACACATAAAATGCTTATTCACTTTGATTTAAACATAACACTTTTGAGTACACCCTCTGAACTTGGTAAACGTAATTCCAATGTTTAAATCATGATTGAAAGGCTAAAATATGCATCACCTTGCTCGAAGCATACATAAGGAAAACAAATAATCTGGGATAACTGAAGACAAGATGTTAAATAAGTTCCCATAAAAATGAGTATATGCAAGTAAGTGATCGGTTTTCATTGACCCGTTTACTTTGAATACTGCAATCAAGAAATTCTTAAATATGATACCTATAATGAAGTTGTCAGTGAAGTTGTACAACGGAATATCTTAAATACACTCTACACGAAATGCATTGCTCAATACTGTCTACCTGAATTTCACAGATTCAGACGCTCGTCTTCCAAGCTCAAAATGTACTACTCCAAACGACGTTTAAATGACTAGCTACTATCATTACACTCAAAAACAGGAAGTTAGAATGGTTAAACTTGAAATGCGGATAACAGCCGTGCAGTACTGCAGTACTATCCTACGCGAAAAAATGTCCCACCTATAATTCACTACCAGTTGTTTCTCTCAAAACATTTTCCACTTCATAGAAGCGATATTGATAACTATAACAATGTACACTCAACACTGTTTGCAATAAAAAAGTGACTTGTATGTATCCATGGAATCCTTAAGTAAATATGTAACGGAACTAACAAGCTTACACTAATAACACGAAGCTGTTCAATCATATTCTTGCGATAGTGCAACTTAAGATAAAACTTGAACTGTCAGTGCATTTAACTTACATATCACTGTTATTTGATTCTGATGACATGAGTTTACTGATATTATCATACTTCGATATAGTGTACTTCTTAAATGTGTGAAACTGTTCAACTAAGTCATCCGGCAACCATGATAACTTGGACGTATAACACCGAGAAATAACCGTCTGACAACGAAAGATATCCCAACAGCGATACGTACGAAGACAAAATTTTAGCGAATGCATGCCTACGAAGAAACAAAATTGAGAGTGATAAACAATTACAGCTTTGCATTACAAGGAAAATCAGCACAAAACCATTTATGTACTATTTATTTAAGGCATATCATTCCCTATTCATTTAGTTTTGAAATCCCCTAAAGCATTTTTCCTTGATTGTAGGCGCTTCCTCCAATGCGCTCGTTATCATTAGGTGTATCTGCGACAGGTTCAGATAACAGCTTCTGTTCGGGAAGAGACAGAAGATTTGTGGGCATCCAGATACGTTCATCAGCGACACCAAATAGGGAAAAATGTTGCAAAATGTGTTCCACCTACTTTGAATTATACTATGTTGACTGGGATTACCTTATCTTTATCAATGTTGTACGTTTTGCTCAAGTTATCTGCGCTTTCACTGCCTGTCTGATATGACTTCATGAGGTCAACAGCCTGACGCATTGTTAATTTTCCTTTGGGAACTGTTTCTGGGACGATAAAACCAAATTCTTCATGAGGTGTAGGAAAGGGATCAAAAGCAACAACTTTCTAAGATATCTCCACAATAAGAAATTACAAATTATCAAACCTGTGGAAGCTTGCGTGTTGAGTTTTTAACATAGTCTACTCCACTAGGAAGTATGCCTTCAGTCAGTGTTTCTGACTTAATTTCAAAGGAATTAATATTCGCATCCAACTTGGGACTGTGTGAAGACAATTTTTCATATCGTTCATCTAATACAACAGCCGTACCAGGATGCTTTGGGGCAGCCTTCGCCACATCTTTATTTTTTTCCAAATGTCTTAAGGCTCTATTTTCTACATCAAAATTTATAAACGGTCGTTTGATAGACGACAATGCTTTGCGAAGCAAGGCTTTCCACATTAGTTTGTATGACGCGGAAGGTCAATCAACAACACTCGAATATCCAATATCGCTTTTACGAGCAAGTATAAACCAATTTGATTTCTTTGTGTTTGCTTCTTGATTGTTAGGTATAGGTTCCTGATATCTGGTGAACTTCTGCGTAGCTCGTCCCGCCACTCGACTGTCGTAGCTTTGGTTGACTCCAATAAATTCTAGATACCGTCATATACGCTTATTGAATCCATTCTTGATGTAGAGGAACGATCCTGAGTCTTCTTTGTTGTGTATCTGATTCATATAGTTAGCGAAAGGCCACTTTTGTGATCTCATTTGGTTCTTCCATCCGTCAGTCGTATGGTGTGGTGAAAGGCTCGATAAAAATATAAAAAAGGGCAAAATATGAACTTAAGGTGGAAGCTAGCAAATAAATAAACAGACTATTGAAAAGTGAATCGATGGGAAGAGCAAGAAGAAAAAGAATACTGGGAACACTGTTAGGAATTTAGGGATATTTTCGTTTCAGAACCACTGATAAGATGGAGTGTGTTAGGAGTGTAGTGCACATTGTACCTTTGAACTTTTGTTTAAACTGACTCACCCACGGTGATCCACGTTTTAGCTTTTGAGTTGTGAGTCTTCCGTACGTTCATTGGTTCGCTCTCTTGTTGTGCTCTCTTTCTGCACACTCTCCGAGCCTACCTCCAGTAACGTCTGCAGCTAAGTTGTACAGTCACTTTATTTATTAAATCTGTTTTTTAGTTACGTTAAATACAACTCATACTAAGAATTCTTTCCATTGTTAGCTTTTAAACTTTGATTGAGTTAATCAGTACTTACACGTTAGGTAGAGTACTCGTAAAGTCATAAGACGGTGAAGTTTTTAGTAAGTGTGGTGATATCGAAGACTATCTTAAGTCTAGCTTCAACACTTACAAGTGGTGAGCCCGTTTTCACCGTTTTCTGCCATAGTAGCTTAACGTGTTAACAATTCTTTTTACGTACCGTCTATTTTGTTATTTTTTTTTTTCTTTCACGCACGGTTATAAAGATTTGATTTGTTTTGTTTGTACTTATATTGGTTTTTTTATCACCTTGTTAATATTTTGTCTTGTGTGCAAGATGGCTGATGGGGGGTCATCAAGCTTTGACGCGGTGGCCCATATAGCCAAGCTATACGAGGAGATCTGTAGTATACGACAGGAGATGAACTCCAGGAGTCGTGGACGCAGTCCCTCGAGTTCGCGTAGTAGTAGACCCTTGCCACGTGCTAGCAGCAAGCGCCGACAGTCCCGAAGTAACCAGCCTGGAGTGTGCTGGTATCATCGACGTTACGGAGCAAAAGCCCAAAAGTGCACTCGCCCGTGCACCTTCGATGTTCAACAGTCGGGAAACTAGCAAGCCAGCACGTACTGGCGACTAACGTCGCTGGCGAACCGCTCTCATGTCGCCTCTTCTATGTTACCGACCGTAACACTGGGATACGCTTCCTAATTGATACCGGAGCAGAGGTCAGTGTAATCCCACCCACAGTAGAGGAGCGCAGGCGGCCAATGTCTCTTCAACTACGAGCCGCAAACGGTTCGCCAATTGCTACGTTCGGCAGGCGCTTTATAGATCTTAACATCGGTTTGCGTCGTTCACTTCGTTGGGTCTTCCTGGTGGCAGACGTTACCACAGGTATAATTGGCATGGATCTATTGCAGCACTACCAATTACTGGTAGATACAGGTAATCATAAGTTAAGAGATCCTGTCACAAACCTCTCCGTCAGCGGTATCGTCACACAAGGCCCAGCCCTCAGCCCTGTATATGCCACACCCACTAGCACTGGTCCTTATTCGCATATACTGCAGTCTTTTTCAGATTTGTTCAAACCTAGCAGCGGCCTGCCATGTGCGACTTCCAACGTCACACACCATATTGTCACTACTGGCCCGCCAGTTTTCGCAAAGCCGAGGCGACTATCCCCAGAAAAACTAAAGGTTGTCAAAGCGGAGTTTGAGCATATGCTAGAAATGGGGATTATTAGGCCATCCAGCAGCCCGTGGTCCTCACCGTTGCACCTGGTACCTAAGAATAACGGTTTAGATTGGCGTCCTTGTGGCGACTACCGCAGACTAAACGCACAAACTGTTCCCGATCGCTACCCTGTCCCTCACATACACGATTTAACCGCCTCACTCAAGGGAGCTCGAGTATTCAGCAAACTGGACCTTACACGGGCTTACTACCAGATTCCCGTCGACCCCGAGGATATACCTAAGACTGCTGTGATTACACCGTTTGGCCTGTTCGAGTTTCTTCGAATGCCTTTTGGCTTACGGAACGCTGCCCAAACCTTCCAGCGTTTTATACATGACGTTTTGCGCGGGCTTGATTTCGCCTTCGCCTATCTGGACGATATCTTGGTAGCTAGTCCAGATGAAGCCACTCATCAACTTCATTTGCAGACAGTTTTCCGAAGACTTGTGACACACTCCCTCACACTCAACTTGCCGAAGTGTCAGATTGGAGTCACTTCCCTGAATTTTTTGGGACATAGGATAGACAAAGATGGAATTTATCCGTTACCTGACCGGGTAGAAGCTATTCAAAACTTCCCTCTACCCACTTCTCCCAAGGCACTACGCACTTTTCTCGGGATGGTTAGTTACTACCGTCGCTTTATCCCACAGTGTGCTCATATCGTGACCCCCTTGACTGATATGCTTAAAGGGAAATGCAAGTCTTTGGTGTTCACTAAGGAAGCCTCGACAGCTTTTGCAGCTATCAAGAAAGCTATTGCTGACGCCACAATGTTGGTCCATCTAGATGTTCAACTTCCAATCAGCATCTCCGTAGATGCCTCTAATACTGCGATCGGAGCCGTCCTTCAACAGCGTATGGCTAATGTATGGCTACCGATTGCTTTCTTTTCACGTAAACTTACCGCATGCGAATCTCGATACAGCACATTCGGTAGGGAACTTCTCGCTGTCTACGCTGCTGTCAAGCATTTTCGTCACTTCGTGGAAGGCCGGCAATTTACGGTATTTACCGACCATAAGCCATTGACGTACGCCCTCCACACTACTTCAGACCGGTATTCACCGCGAGAATCACGCCATTTAGACTATATTTCCCAGTTCACTTCTGATATCCAGCACGTTTCTGGATCGGATAACGCGGTAGCAGACGCTTTGTCTCGCGTATGTGCTACGTCCGTACCACCAACCATCGATCTTCATAAAATGGCCGAACTCCAACTGAACGATTTGAACTTAGAACACCTGTCAAATAAAACCTCACTGAAGATAGAACGCGTCCCCTTGCTAAACAGTGAGGCAACTATACTTTGCGATATGTCAACTGGTACTCCTCGACCGATTGTTCCCACGTCTTTACGCCGAACTGTGTTTGAGTCACTCCACAACCTCTCCCATCCTGGCATACGAGCAACGGACAAGTTGATTTCTGCGAGATTTGCGTGGCCCGGTATGAACCGTGATGTGCGTCAATGGACACGTGCTTGTGTGCAATGCCAACGTGCTAAAGTCACCAAGCATAACATCACGCCGTTGGGGACGTTTGCGACCCCAGACGCTCGGTTCCATCATATCCACCTGGATATAGTAGGGCCTCTGCCCCCGTCTAACGGCTGCTCGTATTTACTCACATGTGTGGATCGTTTCACACGTTGGCCGGAAGCCATTCCGATACCAGATGTAACGGCTCAAACCGTCTGTCGTGCCTTCATGGAAGGCTGGGTTGCCCATTTTGGATGTCCCGCAACTGTCACTACCGACCGCGGACAACAATTCGAATCCACAAGCTTCAAAGAATTGTTAGAGATGCTGGGATGCAAACGCATTCGCACAACCGCGTATCATCCCGCGGCAAATGGCCTAGTAGAACGTTTCCACCGTCAACTCAAAGCTGCGTTGATGGCAGTGGACAACAGTAAGTGGACAGATTCGCTACCACTGGTCCTGCTTAGCATCCGGGCTACGCTTAAGGGGGATCTGCAGTGCTCGCCAGCTGAATTGGTGTACGGTACCACCATGCGTTTACCAGGCGAGCTAATCGCTCCCGAAACTTTCGAGCCAAATTTCCCGATACCACCCGTTACGCTCAGCAACTTAAAAGTTTTATGCAGCGACTCCGACCAGTTTCCACACGCACTCAGAACCGAAAGGTTCAGGTTGATCGGCGACTTGATGACTGTACACACGTTTTCGTGCGTCACGACGCCATACGAAAGCCATTACAACCACCGTATGACGGGCCTTTTAAGGTCCTTAGTCGTAAAGATAAATTTTTCGTTATTGACCGATGCGGCCGCCCAGACACTGTCAGCATAGACAGACTTAAAGCGGCATACACTGAAGAACCTTCACCCTCCCCATCGGCTCAATCAAATAGCCCCACTGAACCTAGTCCTTGTCCAGACTCAACTACCTCACCTCCAGTGGTGAATGATGATTCTCCTACCGTCACCAGTAAGACCCCTGTCACACGTGCTGGTCGACGTGTTCACTGGCCCAAGAGGTTCGTAGAATTCTTTCACTGAACTAATCCATAGGTAATGCTACTAGTGATTTTTTATTCCTTGTCACAATTTCTTATTCAATTCTGCTATATTTAATCTATTTGGTCCCGCTTCTGGGAGTAGTCGTTTTAACCCTCACTAATCCTTTTAATCTTTATCTCTCGTTACAGAGGACCAGCAGCAGTTTGTTTTTACCCCTAATTTTTCATCTATTTCATCTCAATCTACTCGCTAGATCAGTTGGCTTCTCATGTCATCTTGTAACCCACACCAAAAGAGGAATTATGAACAGTATATTACCTTTCACTGCCCATTTTCTTCCAAAAAAAAATTAATTATTATTAAAAAAATTTTTATAAAAAAAGAAAATACAAAAAAGTAAAAAAATGTAAAATAATAATAAATAAACAAAAAATTTTTTTAAATAAAAAAAAGATTATTTAAAAAAAAAAACTTCCACTGTATAGTTAAATGGACAGATATACATATTTTTTGCGCATAAATGCTTCACTTCTATGCTGTACATAGTAATCCGCTCAATTTATTTTCACAGCCTGTACTATATTCCTTCGGGTTTATGCCCTCCTGCAATTCATTTATTTTGTGAACCGTACTTATAAACATTATGCATCATCTTAGTTATGCACTTAGCAACATGAACAAAGTAATTTTGGTAATGATAACTACTCATAGCTATTGGTTATGTACTAACTTCTCTGTAATTTTATAAGTTCTCACAGGGTAGAAACTTCCTTTGTTTTATCTCATTCTAACGTACTACTTCCAAGTTGCACCACTTTTCCTCGCATTGATTTCGCACAAGCTTTTGTAGTACCTTTACACCGATTTTGAAATCTTAACCTTCTTTCCCATTTTCTTCTGTTGTTTTTTTTACCCTGCTCCTTATCATACGCTGGTATAATGATTGCCTTTAACATGACTGCTAGGTTCTGTTGAAGCGGAGGAAGGGAGCATTGGTCTAATATGAAAGTTAGACATAATGAG